AGGCCTTACAGAAAATGATAAAATGATCAATAGGTTATATTACCACAATAACATTAAGTGGGATTTCATCTATTAATTGCAAAATATAAAGATAGTTCATATTGACACTTTTTGTCATAATTTTTTAATTGAAAATGGCGAGCTGCCATAAAGAGTAACAACACTGAATTATACTAGGTAAAATTTAATTAACCACTAAGTGTCATTCTCTCTCTGTCTCAGCATAAATTACCATGTTTTTGCTTTTTCTTGCTTGAGTGTGTAGAGGTCCTGTAACAAAGCAACTGTTACACACTTCTAATTTTAGAATTTGAATAGGATTATGAGTCTAAAATTTGAAACCAATGGACTCAGAAGTATTTGATTTACTTATGGATAGTTGTCAAATCTTAGAAGCAAAAGATTTGACATTGTATATGGCAAATAATTTATGAAGTGGGGAATTTATTATATTATGTGCATAACTACTTGATACTTTAGTGAAATTTCACAAAACTAAAAATCTTTATTACATTTTACACAACCCATTTTAATTTTCTCAATTTATTGTATTGGTTTCCGTTCATGAAGGGAAAAATACATCATGTTTCTATCTAAGAGAAAAATAATATTTTGCTGTTCACTACTAACATCAACAATAGTTCTTTTTGGGAACTGTTTAACTATATATTCTACAAATGTCATGTTTCAACAGCAATCATAATATATACACTTTAGAGCGCTTTTCCTTAATTGTGCAAAGATAAAAAATGAAGTTACATATTGCATATTTCCATTTTTTTCCTTTACACTTAATTAATTATTTTTAACAAGACATATTGAATAACCATGCATTCACTTCCCAAGTCTTTATTTATCATGCAGTCTTTTTCTTTTACATTTTTTTTTTGTCATTCATCATACCCTCTGTGGCTTTATCATAACTGAAGACTAAATGCACTTTTCTTTTATCTTTAAAAGATGGGACATTTTTGAGGAACAAAAAAATGCTTCTTTGTGCTTCTGAACATGCAAAGCATCCCTGAAAAAAGAGAACAGGCAGAGGCTATGAGGATGACATACCAACAGGGGTGGGCTTCAAAAATTTTAGCAACCAGTTCTCTGCCTGGTTTCTGGGTGGGCGTGGCCATGGTAGGTGTGGTCTAGTCAGCTTCATGCACCAGAGTGGGAGGGCCAGTTTCGCCCTTCCTGGGATCCGGAGGCTTTCCTCGAGCCTCCAGGAGGGGCTGTTTCTCACCCTCCGCAAGCCTCCACGTGGACCCTTACCTGGCATCCAAAACAGGCTGTGTGGAGACTCCTGGGAGGGGTGGGGAGGAGTGGGAGAGGCCAGTCAGGGATGGGATTTGCCGTTTCGCTGAACTGGCATTAAAAATGATAAAATTAACTACTGGTTCTCCCCAGTTCAGGAGAACCGGTAGCAGCCCACCCTGCATACCAACAACCTTTCTTTAGCTTCCTGCAGTAAAAGAGCTGGAAAACCACGCCACTCAGATTCAGTGGCACGTCTTTCTTCGAGACAAGAAAGGGAAATATTTTTCATGCTATTTTTAGATCATAGAACCCTGATTATAGCCACTCAGAGCCGCCTTATCAGTGAGATGTGTGGTACATAAATTTAATAAATAAATACATAAAATAAAAATTACCAACTTCTGTTTCCATATTTTCTTCAGCTGTTGAGTCAACAACTTTGGCCTATGTGTCATTACTTTTTATCATTATGCTATTTTTAACCTAATTATTATTACAACCCCTCCTTGTTTAGTGGCTACCTTGTTTAGTGATAGTCTGTAAATAAGACAGCAGTAATAAATTAATAAACATCATTTTTTGTCCAATATGGGGTTTAAGCCCAAATGTTCGCAATGGATAACAACACACGCTGGTGTGAAAGTAATGCTGGCATTGCTGCACAGCAAAACTTTACTTTAATGAGGTTGCAGCACCCAGCAGTCTTTTGCAATCTATTTCTCTGTCGTGTGGTTTGCTTTGCAATCCTTTAGCTTCTGATATAGGACATGAATTGCATTTTAATTTTATTATTTATTCATTTAAATTTTAATTCTAAGCTGCCCTTCATACAAGTTGTTACACCATGAAACATGGGAGATCAATGCTGTCTTTTTTCTTAAACTAGGCAGACACACTCACTCACTCACACACACACACAATGTAAGTTAAAATGTGTTTGAATATAAGTATGCACAGTCTATTCCAGACACATGCGTACTCACAGATTTATGTAGAAATATCTAAAAATTGGTTATATCAAAATGTTAACTGTTAAAGAATATAGGCTTTGTTTTAAATTAATTACAAATAATGGAAACAGTTTTTACATAGCATTAAATTAAATGATTATAAATAATGTATGCTATCTGAACCTCAGCTAGATATGCAACTGCTTCATTTTACTATAAAAATAAGAACAAAACTCAAAACATTAGTCAATGTAGTGCAGCATACATTTTGATATCAATTCTCTCCAGATATGCAAAAATGTATTTCTATTCCTGTGCATAGATTGAGCTTCTTATAAAAATAATTATAATAAAATATAGAAGATAAACTTAATCCTTTGAATGCCATAAAAATAATTTTAAGCAGACACCAATTCAGCAAATCTTCAATAGACTTATATTAGCCATCCCATACATCTGTTGCAGATGATATAAAGCTATTTATTTCCCTGCCTAAAATCCAGATTTGCTGTTCCATACTAGTGCACTTTGCATAGAGACATTCTTTGCTTTTAAGAAAACCATTCAGTTTCAACCACATAAGAAACAGTTACTGGGGAACCCTTCCTAATTCCCATGTAAACAAACTACTTAGCATTCCCTTGCTTGTATAAACCAAGGGATTGAAAAGTCTTTGGTGGATTGTCAGAAGAAAAAAGCAACACAGAACTTTATCTAAAATAAGGTGCTCCCGAAGGGAAGGGGCAACGCGTAGCATCATCAAGGTCACACTGTTGTCGTTTTTTGTTTTGGGAGGTCTTCTTTCAGTTGGGAGTTACCCCGGCTTCTTTCTGACGGAGTCTTTCTTTCTGTTGTTTAAGAGAAAAGGAGTTTATCATCATTCTTTGCTTTCATCTGTTTTAAAGCTTCAGAGAGTATATGGTTTAGGCCAGAGGTGGTATTCAGCAGGTTCTGACCAGTTCTGGAGAACCGTTAGCGGAAATTTTGAGTAGTTCAGAGAACTGGCAAATACCACCTCTGACTGGAGATTTTACAGTATCCTTCCCCTGCCACGCCCACCAAGCCATGCCCACAGAACCATTAGTAAAAATATTTGAATCCCACCACTGGTTTAGGCCAAAAGAATGGAGCAATTTGAAACCAGAGTAGACATAAGCTTCCTCCTCCCTCCATTTTTTCCAGAAAATTAATTCCTGAAGTGCCACACTAAGACAGGAAGGATATATTTAGAGCAAGTATATGTCAAAAAGCCTCTACATTTAGTCAATAGTGTATGTCTGTAAAAATTACAAATGTGAAAAAAACACATTGAAAAGTTGTAGAAGTAAAAAACAAAACAAAACGTAAGGGCATGATTTGAAGCCAGCTACTTGTAGGGATTTTCCATTCCCTTTCTTCAAAAATGAGTATTTTACACAGTCCATGTGGAAAACTGCATGATAATGTAACTATAAACCAGACCCAATACAAACTTGATAGCAGTACATTATCATATACTATTTTGAATAAATTTTTATTAAATGAATTAATAGCAAACTCTCTTTTGATTTCATATACATGCTCAACATCAGATTGTCCCTCAAATAAATAGTCATATCTTTGTTACTAAATTGGACTTAATTCCCTCTAGCTTGCTCGTAACTGTATTTAGCAACTAACACGCAGCAAAAAAAAATCCATCTGTCTACATAAAAAAGACAGTAGTCAATCTACAGTGTCATATCCATATTTCAGAAATGGAAAGAATCTTTAAAGGCAAAAACAATGCCTGAGATTATTTAATGCAGCAGGAAAGAATGTCAATGCTCAATTAACATTCAGATTATTTTTAAAAACAGAAACATGTTGAGTTAAGATCTACAATGATTTTGTAAGCTGGTTCTAAGGAAAAAGTCTTTAGGATGCCTATTCTAAAATTGAAAATACATACTTGCTTTTTAATAGATTAGCTACATAAGAATTAACTAAAACTTCCAGCTATATTTAAAAGAGAACCAGAAACCAGAATCACAATAAGAATGTAACCTACCAGACTGGCAGTTGGATTGATTTTTCTAGTTTCCACTTTCTTTTCTGAAGTTAACTTGCTCACTGATTGCTGAGCCATTCGGAGTCTAAAACAAAATATAAATAAGTATTATTAGAGCTTTAAAAATGATATATGCTTACCATATAAAAGTTGTTTTCCTAAACAGCTATACTTTATAAAGCAAACACAAAATCTACATCAATTCTCTTATGTGACAAATTTGGAATAATTATTATCTACAATTTTTAGAGATGGTATAGCACCTGACCTAACCTACGTTCACCATCGGTGAGAGTTTTCTCAACAAAATGCCTTTTACTGAGATAATAATTGATCCAACCCCATAATCATATTAGTCCTGTTTGGGAACAGTTTCCCAGAGCTTCTTCAACGCAACCTGAAGATACTATAAAATGAATTTGTTTGATTGCAAAGCACATGTTCTATTACTGAACCATAATCTTTTCCTTGCAAGAAAGCACCTATCAGGCCAGTATGACCTTCATCATTACGATGCAGTACCAACTCCAATCAATAATGACATCAAGATACAAATTCTGTGACTTGCCAGACATTACATTTTTGATACTTCAGTTTGTACTGAAGACATATATTAAATGTTAGACATTGGTTCTCTTCCTCTTAATTCATGGATTGTTCTTGATCTCTAATTACCATTTTGATGGTATTTCAGTACCAAGTGATCCACATTACAAACAAACAAAAAATTGCTATGCATTCCTACTACTTGGCTCACTGAAATATCAAACTGTTATTTTTATCTAACACTGGAATGTCTTGTTGAAAAGAGTTGGGTATAAACAAAATTTCATCCATGGAATTTAGCAACAAAACCTAAGCTTCTTTAATAACTATTTTGGTTGAGTCAGTAGGACTATAATATACAATACAGTTAGTTGGATTACTGTGTTATTGCTGGTTAGTGGCACAGAAGCTGCAATAATCTTGACTAGCTAAATTATATCAGTTGTCCATTTCTAAGGGACATTTAAAGTAGCCCCATCAAAGTTCTGTTTTTATTACAAGACGCTGTCAGTCAGTGGCCAAGAAGATTACTTCAAAAATTTCAGTTACTGTGAAATATGGACACAAAAACTGCAATGCCAGTTTGACACTAATTCAAAAAAGAACAGAATTGTCTTCGTAATGGTTCATATATCCTAGAAAATAATGGAAATCAGTAAGACTAGAATTTTTTGTGGTAAACAAACAAGCAAACACTTTTCTATAACATTTTCTATAAAATTAAGCACTAAAACTTTCAGCCCAAATTGTTAATATTCCTAACTAGTTGATTTTGGGAAGAAGCATATTTTTAAATTTAAATGTTTTTATTGTAGGTCAAATATTAAATACATACATAGTCACTCACACTTATTACCCAATTCAAGATCATTACAAAAGTGCATATTTTGTAATTACAAACATGAAATAAAATTGTTCACGTGTTAACAATATTAACTAGTATTTAACATACATTTTTTCTTATTTGCTAGTATAAAGTTTTCACCTTTTCAAGAATACATAAGTGTTGTCTCAGAGCTGAGGATGGAAAAATGTTGCTTACTTAACCTCGTGACCCCCTTTTCATTCAAAGGATCAAGGGAGGGAAGGATAGGAAGGCATGAAGTGATTTGATACTAAAAGACTGATTTGGTATCAAATCCAGAAGAATGGATCTTATATAACCAGCTGCTACCATAATACGTTCTCAAAACATTAAATTCCTTGTGATTAACAGAATTTGAGGTATTTATAAAAAAGGTTCCAACAATACTAATAAAGGAGAATATTTGTAGCTCAGGGTTGACATGAGGGGTCCTTGTTGCTCTCTGACCATGCTTGTTTTCTTGCAGACATTTCATTATCCAAACTAGGTAACATCATCATCAATGCTAGTAAGGAGTATTGTTTGCTGTCCATTTATATTCTAGTGCAGGGGTGTCAAACTTGTGTTGTCACATGACATATTGTGACTTTCCCCCCCTTTGCTAAACCGGGTGTAGGCTGCAAGTTTGACAGCCCTGCTCTAGTGGCTTGCCTGTCAGTGTTGGTGGGGGTGGTCTTAGAGATTCTTTAATTGGGCTGTTTGCTATTAGCTTCTTTGGCAGTTTCTTGATTGGGGTATTGTTTACTTGATTGTTGGTCTGATGTTAACCTTGGAATTAATCTATGTTGATCTAGGTGCTGATTGCTGGTGGAGAGGTGCTTGGGTATTTTTGTTTCCTTTTGGGATGAGTGATAGTCTCTTTTGCATAGTCTATAGATATAGTTAATGTCTAAGTGTCTATCGATGGCTGATTTGGCACTCAACAGGTTCCAACAATAATTGGTAGCTAGTTTTGGGTTAAGGCATCAGGCTAGAAAACAGGAGACTGAGTGTTGCAATCTTATCTTGGGTATGAAGCTGGGTGACTGACTTTGGGCCAGTCATCTTCTCCCTGCCCTAGAAAAGAGGCAATGGCAAACTACATCTGAAAAATCTGATCAAGAAAACTACAGGATTTTCCCAACCATCTCTGAGAATGAGATATGACTGAAAGAAAGAAAATATCAATAACTATAATATCCTTTGTTAAAAGTTTTTTAAAAATGTTATTAGCTTTTTCAAGGTATGCTGTTCAATAGGTACAGAAATTGTTAATTTTTATTTGACATTTATCACTGCAAACTTAAAGTTTGCTTCAAATTATTTCCAGTATGTTATGCAATTACTTTTGAAAGTAAGTATACATAAATATTGTCTTAGGCTGAATTTATGCATAACATCAAACTATGATTTGTCATTATGGGAATAAATTTAGAGGGAATAAAGTAAGTATAACAGAAATAAGCCAGTTTGTAGTTTCAAATAATTTTGCAATTAATGGCATATTTTATATCACCAGTTCCAAACCTAGATTAACCTAGACTAGTGTTTTTCAACCTGACAACTTAAGATGGTGTAGGTTTCAGTTCCCAGAATTCCCCAGCCAGCCACCATCCAGTTGAAATCCATCCATTTTAAAGTTTCCAAGTGTGAGAAACACTGGATTAGATTACTACAGGTAATATATAAAGGAATGAACATTTACACTTCAAGAAGAAAAAATTTACCTGATGGAATATGATATTTTAGAATTTTATTTGACATTCATAGGGTAATATGAATGGGATATGATTTATTTCTAAGCAATGTCTTGCTCTGGAACAATTTTGCTCATGACAGAAGGTTTAGTGAAAAATAAAGTTTTTTTTTTTAAACTTAATGCTACTGCCTCTTTTCTGATAAGCCTGCCCCTCATTAGTATGTTGGGATTATTTTTCTCTACAGCAGAGGTCTCCAAACTTGGCAACTTTAAGACTTGTGGACTTCAACTCCCAGAATTCTCCAGCCAGCATAGCTTCTGGGAGTTGAAGTCCACAAGTCTTAAAGTTGCCAAGTTTGGAGACCCCTGCTCTACAGCATAGAAGAGAGGGTGGAATAATTTTTTCTCCACTTTGGCTGACTGAAACTTGAATACTTTCCTATCTTAAAAGAAAAATTCTATGTGTAAAGAATAGAAAACAATGACACCAAATTAATTGTTTCTTCTTCTGTATGTGTGTGTGTGTGTGTGTATTCTTCCGAGCACTTCCTCAAACGTTAATTGCATGCTAATGTCATTAAGTATTGATATTCTAAATATCAGAAATTATCTAAAGCTCCATATTTATATAAATGTACATCAAAACTCTGGACATTTGCTGCAGTGGTCAAACTGTGAAATCACGTGAAGCTAAAAAAAAAGTGCAGACTGGGAAAATTTTTTTGAAAGATAGAAAGATACAAAATGTGCTCCTGGCTTTGATTTTTAAATTTTTCATCTCACTGTTTCTCAACCACAGGCATTTTAAGATATGTGGACTTCAATTCCCAGAAGTCATGATTCTGGGAGTTGAAGCCCACCCAACTTAAATTTGCTGCGGTTGCGAAACACTGGAGTGTTTCAAGAGTAGAACAACACAGATGGAGTGTCTTAATTAATTCCCAATTAATCCACCTGAACCACACTGTTTATATTAGAACCCTTTCTAAAAAGGATACTGATCTTGAAAAGAAGGCCTGATAAAGATTTGCTTGTGTTTTTCCTGAGTTGCCCTTATTCTTTATGTGGCTGCTGGTGGCAGTGATGAAATCTTTGTTTCAAGGGAAACATTTCAAGGGAAATTGCAAGCAGCTTATATTATGGCTAATTTCAAGTCTAGGAGGACTTCCCCTTCCCTGACATTTTCTTTCTGAGCAGAAAAGCCGACTGCTGCTTAAGATTGCTGCTTGTGATGAAAGACACCAATGACCTACAATGTTTGCACATCTCCTTGTATAAAAAGTATAGCAATTTATTGAATTATTCACATCTGCATCTAATTTAAAATAGCTGCTTAAGCAAATTTATGCTTCTAGTTTTGGACAATTAACATTGTTATTATGTTGAATGCCAACTATTTATTTGACAAATTGTTCATTTAGGCTCAAGAATAGTAATGTAGTCTTTGCTTGTTTAATATAAGGGACACACCACACACATACACACATGCTTTAAACGTTGAGAGTAATTATTAGCCTCCATCCAGCTTTTCACCAAATGTTACATGAGGAAGGGGATGCTTGCCTGCAAATTTGTGTTCATTCCAAGTAAGCTACTATATTCCCTACTTTGTATTTTTGTGGCACATAGTCCCATAATATTTTGCCTTTCCAATTCCTGTTTTAAAATAGAAGCTGGTGTCTATTTAACAATAGAATATGTTGGGTTTGGCCACAAATGCATCTAAATAAATTTTAAATAATGTTAGCACTGAACTCAACATTATCATTTTATAGTTTCTGCTCAAATATTTTATTACCTATATGCTTCAAAAGTTGATTACAAACAATATAATTTATCAGGAAGCATGAGTATGATTGACAATGTACAACAGATGTTTTTAGTTTTTTCAGGGAACACCACCTTTAAAAAAAAATCCCACTATCCCTGATCAAGAGTCAAAGCCCAAATGATAGAAAATTGGCTGAGTTAAATGAACTTTTTTTATGTATTTGTTAGTCTCGCACAGAACCATAATAAATTCTTGCAAAATCCATGGGGTTCCATAGAACATAATTTTTAAAAAAAGGAAGGAAGGAAGACTATACATACCAGAAAATTGCAAATGGGACCTACTCTAAAATAATATAATGTGGAGAGGTCCAGAAGTGGTCCAGCCATGTCTTCTTCTAGAACAGGGGTGTCAAACTCACGTCATCACGACGTATCAGGACATTTTTCCCCTTCGCTAAACCGGGTATGGACTGACCAGCGTGTGACGCATCTGAGAGTTTGACAGCCCTATTCTAGAATGTTTATTCCATTTCCCTTCCCTAGAACCAGTCCATGATTACTAAGCACATCCAGTCATCATTAGGCTGGATTCAGCAAGAGGAAATGTTCTACTTTTGTAAACTTTCAAATCACTCCCACCCTGTTTTCTGATGAATGAGCATGGGATTAATTTGGCTGTATAAGAAGTGAGAGTCATATAAGTGAATTTAATAGGAGGGAGAAGTAAAATGAAATGTAGCAAGACCACTGGACTAGAAAATACAATATTATAATATCTAATTTAAAATGTGCTATGTTTTTAACATAAATTTGTTACAACATGAAAGAATATAGTACAGTAATGAAATTATTAAGTAACCATCCCAATCTTTCTTTTTCCCCCCTTTAAACCTTCAAACAATTCAAACCTTAACACAAAAAGGGTTTTAACTAAAAACTAATAAAATCAGAAAATGATGGGACAACAGGATACCAAGAAATAACACTGTAAATTCAGTACAGGATTTTGACACTGTGCTAAATGGGATCTGAATCCCACAGGCTTTCCTTTGATGCAAGTGTGGACATATTAACTTCACTTTTGTTTGTCAGTGCTGTCTGCAACACCAATATTGCTTCACTTAAAGTTGTCCAATGTGAAAATGCAAAGAGAAGCAATCTGTTCCAAATTAGCGCAGCTTCTCTTTCATTTCACTAGCTGGCAATTGGAAGGGGTTAAGAAAGTGTAATTTATCAGATTATATGTGTTTATCTTTTTGTGGGGACAGCATCCTTTTGGTCAACTTTTCTAGGCACCCTGAGGGAATAATCTTTCCTTGAGGTCCATTTGATCTCAAAGAAAACAATGACGCCTGAGAAATACAGGAGTATAATTTGTTGAGTTTGAAAAAGAACAGCTCCCAGACTTCTAAAATTGTATTAATGGCTTTATTAGAACCTTACCGTTCTTCGGAAATGTTTTTGTTCTCCCGTTTCCAAATAGCCTTAAACTCACTGCAGAATTCATACCAAACCATGAAAACATAATTGAGTGTGGTCTCCTTTTCACCAGATTTTGGCTTTATTCCATAGTACTTCACCATTTCTTCAAAACTGGAGGATGTAGAGGGGGAAAAGATGGACAACACATAAACTCAATGGGGAAATTGAATGGAAATTTTGCTGGCATAGATTTCTGACTAGAAATTCCAGGCTAAATAAAAAAAAACAGGTACAAGTAGAAACTGTACCATAAAAAAAGACCAGATGCAATATAATATATATTAGAGTTTTTATTGCATCACCTAAGTGAATTCAGTTGACAGATATCTATATAAGCAGTAAGAACAGAAAAAGCAAAGAAAGCAAACTGGTAAGTAAGATTTGAGAAAGAATCACATTTTAAAAACAGATGTTTAACAAAAAGGCACTGAATTGTACCATTGTACACTCCCCTAATAAATCTCTAAATAATAGGCTATTAAGTCATGGCAACTTCTCCCTAACTGAAGGTTTTCAGGTATTAATATCCTGAAAATACATCATTTGACCTAGAGCAAACACCAGAATATAGTACTACTGGAGTTACAATTTTGTGGTGAATATTCCTAGGACTATTTTCACCTCCCACATACTGTCTGCTTCTTCATTTGTGTCTTCCAAGCAAGTTGGAACAACTTTTTGCTTAAGGACAATTTAAAAGTTAAATTGGGGGCATTGAGATTTAGAATTAAGTTTCTTATTCTGAAGAAGGGCGTGGCTGGTGAAACTATGCATATGTAAAGCTTTAGTAGACATTTTGCAAGGTTTTGGATTTTTGACCTAAAATGAAGACTAGAAAATATTTTTAAATGCTCTTTTGGACAAATAGTAAGCTTATTTATCTCGTATTGTTCTTTGACTACTATTTTCTTCAAGTAAGTGACATAATACTCTCCATGTTTTTAACTAACCTTCCTTTCATACGAAAAGACAGCTGTCACAGGAAGGCTACAACTTTCGCTTTAATTCAGTCCTGTTGGATTTCTCTGTGTACGGTATATATTTTCATCTATAATTTAATCTCCCCAAACAAGTTCTAACTGTGTGAAAATGCTGGAAAGAGTAATATGCATTTAAGAAAGAACCCCAATCCTAATCCCATTTACAGGTATTTTTTAATTTATAATGCTCCAGTTTTCTTAACTGGAGACCTTACCATTTTTGTGCATTGTCCAGGTGACTTTTCTCTTCTTTATGTTCTTCTACAGCTGCAAAAAGCATTTAAAAATAATTTTAGAAATCTGAATATGTGCTACATTTCAAGGGTTTCATAATTTCACACCACTCATAGAAAAAGAAATATTTGGAGTATTAAAATATGAATTGTGAATTAAGAAATTATATCATTCTTGTAAATGTTGGAAGAGCACTAACTAATGCCTTAAAAATATGCCAGAAATATAGAGGCTGGTGTAAATGGATAAAACATTTTTAGAACAAAAGCATATGCTGTTCTTATGATGATGATGAAAGGACTAGTTGTGAGGAGATACTGTACAGACCAATTACAAAACACTTATTTTTATTGTGTTACAAAGAGATTTTATTTACAGTGAAGGTATGCACAATTCACAATGATTTTGGTCTCCTTGTACTTAATCGACTCCATATGTTGTGCAGTTAATGGACGATAGGATATATTCAACAAAAGAGATATTTGTCTGTATTTGAAGCTGTATCCTAGAATTACTGTACCTCCGTGTTTATAGCTCAAGCTGTAAACAATCAAGCTTAGAGAGCACCAAGATACTCTAAAGGAAAAATATTTAGATGTTCAGGACCAAAGTTATCATACAAAGATATTTCAGATCCTGACAAGAAATATTACTTACACTTCTGTCTAGACTTCATTTATTCAAAAACTATGGTCTCTTATCCCTTCTGATTCCCAACATACAGATATATCCTGGGAGCTTTTTTGTGGAATAATGAAACAGTTCCTATCAGGTGGCTAGAGATAGTGCTATATAGCGCTACATAGTTGATAGTGCTACATAGCTGAATTTCACAAAATAAAAGGCATGTAAACCTTATATATGACAACCCTTCCTGTGTTTCCAAGGTTACTATGGACTAAATCTAGATGTCTATACTGATGACAAATTCCATAAAACTTAGTTGTGTGAACCAGTGGCAGTTTATAGGTTAGAAATAGAATCCATTTTAATCCAACTGCAACAGCTATAATTATCTAAACCATAATAAAAATGATGCTCTGTACACTTATATTTTCATGTATACAAAAGAACCCTATTTCCAATAGTTTCAAATAGTCCCTAACATATAGAAATTGATAAAACCAGGTTTAAGGAACTCTTAATAAAAATAAAATGGATTGTGACTGGTTTTGTTTTAATTTTGTATGCCATTCAACATTCCTATGGTAGAGAAATAGCCATATAAATATGCTTAATAAATGAATAAATAAAATTAAGTTTGATAGTGTATAAATGAGATTGGCTTAAATACAAAATAGTTTTATGTAGGGTCAGAATTACAAGATTGTTCTACAACATCTCTCCTTTTGCAATGCAATCCCATTTTTAATCTGATTAGATGTCACCCCTTTGAAGTAGACCAGATTTGTGAAGCCAAAATTGTGAAGACCAAAACTGCTTTTATTCTTCACTTTTATACTATTTTATGTTTCTCCCCTCCCTGTATTTGTCTGTAAGAGAATAGGTGGCAGAGTTAAAACTGAGACATTTTCTCAAATTTCATTTCTGCTTTGGACTCATAGTTCTCTTAGCTGAATGCTGCTTTGGTTGCATCCTCAAGGTTATTCTAGCAGTCCGTTACATTAGAATACATCTCTCTGGAGAAACTTCTCAGTGCCATCAGATAAAGGATTTTATATATACCTTGAACAACTGAAAGACAAAAAAGTGGGTTGCCATTCTCCATGGCCAGTTTAGTTAATATGATTATGAAGGCCATGTCAGTCAAGATTTGAAGACAGATTGGCTGGTTTGGAACTTTCCCGAAGATGGACCGCTGACTGTGATTGTCTGCAGCTTTGGTCCATGCTTCGGCGTCGGAGAGCCCCGATTGGTCAAATTTGGGGCAGAAGCCACCTCATAGGGGCGGCGGAGGAAGGGAAGACCGGAGGAAGGGGAGACCGTCAGCTGGGTTGAAGGGAGTTGCAAAACCTCTCCTTGGCTTGGCAACTGCTCCCTCCTGAAGACGTCTGAAGCGGGGGTCTAAAATGGCCACTCTGAAGGGGAAGATTAAGATGGAATAAGATTGTGCTGGAGAGAGAAAGAAGCAGACAGCAGGAGGAATGGGATAATACAATTAAATGAAAGATACCCCTAGGATTAACTTTCTCAAGAATCTTTAAGAAAGGATTTAAAGCAGCAAAGTGAAAGAAGGAAAAAAGGTGTGAACTGTTTTTGACAGTGGTGGGGCTTTGAGAAAGATAGAAGCTGGAAAAAGAAATCATCTAACTAATTTGGATAAGTATATTTTGATTCTATACAGGCACTAATAAAGCTGAACTATAGATTGTTTAAAGAGAAAATTTAATACTAATTGGGATTGATTGATTTTTATTCTTGGAAAACTTGTTTAAAAAGCTCTGAATAGCTGAAAAAAAAGAGGGGGTGAAGATCTGCTATAACAAAGAGTGTCATCTAATGGTTAAATTTAACTTGGTTTTTTCCCCTAAAAGACTCTGTTTCTTAAAAAGTGTAAGGAAAATTGATACAATAAAACAAGAACTTTGAAAAACTGAAACATTGAAACAAAGAAAGAAATAAGAAGATTCTGCCCTTTGATTAACTGTTGATTCTGGCATGGATCTAACATTGGATTAGCTGAGGACTAAAATTCAAGAGGAATAAAATAAAAGCTGATTGTTGGAAACCAACTTCATAGATACTATTTGGATTAAATTGTTAAATAGAAAAAAATTAAAATGGCGACATCTCTTCTGGAATTAAAAATGGAACTTAGAAATATGAAAAAAACATTACAAGAGTGTGGTGAATCCTTGGGCTTTGCTTTAAAATTTATGGAAAATGCAGATTGCAGAACATGAACAACAAAGACAAAAGACAGAAGAGGAAGTGGAACAAACAACAGAAGAGGCAATTTTTAATTCTCATCAAGAACAAAGAATTTTGGAAAGAAGGAGGAAAAGAGTGGGAAATAAATATAAGAGATGTAAGAAGTTAAATAAAGAGGGGAATATTCCAAAAATTAAAAAAGGTAAAAAGAATCGGCAGATATTCGAAGGGTGGAAGGAAGCCACAAATAGGGAGGGGGGATAAAAATAGGAGTGAAAGAATAAAGGGGAAAATAGAAGGGGAAAGAAGGGATAAGAAACAGGACTTGGAAACAAAGAAATATGGAAATTGTAAAAAAAGTGGGGAAAATTAGACACAGAGATAATGGTTGATTAATATTCAGAAAGGGGATTCTGCAAGGTGTTGGGGGTAACATAAACAAATTTAAAGTTATGAAAAAGGGACATATAGACTGATAAGATGGAAAATAGAACTGTTACTTTTGATAATGGAATTTCAGCTCTTTTCCTTTATGTATAGAGATAATTGCAATAAATAATGGAATATGTTTATTAAATATATTGAAATAAGTGAAATGAAACGCGAGGAAGGGTTGTAATGGAGTAGACTTTTTTTATGAGTGGAACGCAGGCTTCTTTGTTTAAATATATAAAGATGAATGGAATAATTAATGGAATATGTGTATTAAATGTACTGAAATAAATGAAATGATATAGGAGGAGAAAACTGAATAAAACTTGTTTAAAAAACAGATTGGAAGACAGATAAAATGGATCAAACTATATTGCCATTTACATCTTTGAATGCATGTTGTTATCATGACGCAGCTACGAGTGCTAAAAACAGCTAGGAGTGCTGGGATTGCCATTGCTAAATGATATAATATGTCATATTTTATAGCTGCAATACTTAGCTTTATAAATTCAGTCCCCAATTACCATCTTAAATTGAGGATTATGCAGATAGCATCCCTCTATCCTAGTCCTGATCCTTCTCTTTGAGCATCCTAAATTTATTTTGATTTTTTTTTCTTTAACTATGTTAAAATATTTACAGATCCAAGCAATTTCATACCTTTTGTCCCACTTGCCATCATTTTTACAATTTACACATGAAGAAGTAAAGGATATAATATAATCCTTTAATAATATAAGTTGTACATGATTTTAATTATGGGGCAAGATGAAAATTTTAGTTAAAATGTTATAAAAGAGGCCCAAAAACCAAAAGCACAGATCTCTCAAGTTTCCATTCTTACCTTAGCTGAAATAAGCAAAGTATTTTATTCTGTCTTTTATAAATCTTAATAATACTATTTTTATTTGTATAATACTACACATAATCTGTTTTCAACCCAGTTTTAGTTTGGTCTATTTAGCAAACTTATGGAAGTAAACTGCTTTTAAGTTATGTATACATATTTTTGTACAAGGGCTTGCAAATCGTAAAGTGTTACTTGTCCTTACACTTGAGATATTTGGAAAATATCTTGACATTTTTCAACTACATGATGCATGAAAGTTCAAATACACTTAACAGTAACACAAAAATACTGATTGTATTTATACATTCCACCCACAGAATAAATTCAATTGTTTATTATCAGAGGTAATACAAGGAAACCAAGAAATTATGTTCTGTTTAAAAATGGATAATGTTGCCTATAAATTTGTCAAAATTGTGTTGAAGGTCAGTTTACTAGGCAATTATAGCAATGAAGCCAACTAAGTCAGTTATTATATATTCATTTTTGGATATATTTGAATATCAACAGAAAGAAGGCTTTTCAAAACGTTTGGTTTTTTTATATACTCAAGAAATGGAACATATTTTAAATTGTGTTTCAGTTCATATCCTCTTTTGAAATATAATACCAAAATAAATTGAGACCAATGATACTATATGCCTCAAAACTCAGTATTTTTCTTGGAAACAACTCCAAAAATGATTTTTTTTCAAATATGATTTTCCTGCATTCACATTATTAATCAACCTTTATACTCCAACTGTGGTTAAACATGGTAGCTTTTAAAACATAGCATTATTTAACATAACAAGAAAGAATATTTTTCATTTGCTTGTATTCCAAAGAAAACAGAAAGAGTAATCTTTCTGAGATTGTTAAACACAGGCAAACAATTTAAAAAACTGGAAAATTGGTTTTAATCCCTTTTAAACAGAATATGTATGAAACCAATCTGTTCAGCTTTTGAAAAAATAAACCAGACAGACTACACTTTTCCCTATAAAAATGAAGGATTTTTTTTTAAATGTAGGCAGGGGTGGGGAGTTTAGTGTGCTCAGAAGTATGATGAATTATGTTAATAAGAATAGGAAACAGGTCTTCTCTAAAACAAGAAATTGTCACAAATACCGAGCAAATAAGCATATTGGGTAATATAGAGTTTTAAAAATTGATAATGAACCTAACTTTAAAAAGACTTATGGATGTGGTTATTTGAGTTGTTTTAAAAAATAAAAAAACCACAGCATTACTGCCTCCTGTGAGTTACTTAGAATGATTTATGAAGCTGAGGTTGCTTAGAATGATTTATGAAACTGAGGTTATATTTTATAAATTGAACTTAGTAAAGATTGATTTCATATAGCCAGGTAAAACTTTAGGAATATAATATGTACAGCAACGTCTCACACTTAAGATATAGTTTTCTACACTGCTGGTATGAAGAACAGATTAAAGAATTCTCTTCATTTAGACATTTTCCTTTTACAAATAAACATTTCAGGTGGTTGGGAGTATACGTTCATTTTAAAGGCACAGCAGGAAAACAGCAAAATTGAAATTAATTTTCTATGGATTTGTGTAGACTTTTTCATACTATGAATTGCTTCAACTCATTTAATTATTCTTTTATTACCTTTCTATTGCTGATAATGAATTATTCTGCCACACAGTCTTTTAGATCAGAATTAGCATCGGAATTGTAGAGTTTATGACAGACATTAGAGCAAGAAAGTTATAAGAAGAAATATATGTGTGTTTTATATGGAACACATTTGTTTCTTTGCACAAAAGCATTAAAAAATAATAGGAATTAAAATATAATAATATAGTAAAAAATTAGAATTTAAAAAATAAAGCATATCTTAAAAAATGGATTTATCAGCTTCCCATTTTATAATTTAATATTTTAAAAAGAACAGGAGAAGGAACAATATCTACCAGTATGTACAGTCTAGTGTTAAGAAAGTATTGTAGTAGGCTTTGGTTCAGTAAAACGGTCAAACTTAAAATTCTAATCTGTATACAAAATTAGACCATGGAAAAAGGTTTCCCCTATTGGTTAGTTCTATATATAAATATCAAAACAATAAATGTATTGATAAATAAGGATGGTAAATAATACAATCTCACTGGAATGATAGGTACTTCTTAATCCCAATATGATTTCCTCATTCTCATATGAGGAAAATTCCCAAACTTAGTGGTCATGAAGACTCAATAATCTGAAACTGAAATGGACATTATTTGGAGTTGGTTGGAATCACTGCCCTAAGTTGGTTTGAATAGAGCAGTGTCTAAATCAAATAAATTAAAATAATTAATTAGATTTAGTTACATTATACTTCACTCTTCTCCTAGCTGATGAAAAATTCTACTTCTTTACCCAATTCATCTGAAGGAGTTAGAATGGGAAAAGTTAGTTAACTTTGCCTTTTTAATACTTTTTTGATCCTGTGTTTAATTTTTCATTTATGTTGCTAATCTATTTAATCATACCTATGTGCAAGAAATCTCTGAAACTTGTCATTTTCCCCAGCTTTGGGTTGAGATCTATTATTTATATTGATTGAGCTTTTGCTTTCAATAGCAACTACTTGAGCATACAAACATTCTTGAAAAAAGAAAACATCTGTATTAAAAGAGTTGTGATATTCCAGGATAATTGTTCTATCTCTGGCACTTTTAATATTTTTTCCAGTTGTCTGCAGCTGTTGTAATTCATGAGTATGGAAAAAAAGAGAAAAATGCCTATGTATGAAGCAATGAAAATCATGAACACAATAAATGTTTGGTTATCACTGGAATTTTAAAAACATGGAAATTATGATTTTTAAACTACTAACTAAAGACACATATCATAGATGAAAAAATATTGCACTGTGAAGCATATTCCTGACAATTCCAAATGACTATTTTATTTTGTTTTTAACAACTAATGAAAAATATTCACTAACTGAAACAGTAATGTAGCATATCATGCATTGCTTGACAGCCATCCAGGAGTTTCTTCCCAGACCATTCCTTTAAAAAATAAAAACAGCTGCCCTTGATATACTAGCATTTTCTGCCTTTTCTGTAACAAATCACTTAAAGTTTTTTTTATATGGGGTGGTGGTGGTGAATATTATGTACAAAAGAGATCTTAGTGTATCAAAATACTGAAAAATAGATCTTCGGTAAAATGAAAAATACAAACCATTTATAAGACAACGCAGTGCTTAAAAGGAAAAGCAGTGCTTTTCCAGCATTTACAAACCTAGAAAGCTGATAAAAAGTGCAATTTTGGTTTTATACTTTTTTTTTAAATGTGGTCTTTGCCACCAAAATATGTGGCGCTTCTAAATGTGAAAACCTGTAATTTCTCTCAAATTCCATTCAATGATTATGTCCACACTTTCATTTTGTTTATTGTTTATTATATTTTTATTCTGCTCAATAACCAGATTATCTGGGGACATTGCTATTTTGCTGATGAACAGTTTTATAGTCTCAAAGTTTGCATTCAGCTTGATGACCTGTGAGTTGCCCAAAGAAAGTTACAGTGTAATGTAAGGGTTGGTTGAATGTACTGTTTTTACTTTGTCCTCTGTAATCATCATTATTATTGCTCATGAAGAACAATTTTGCTTGTATATCCTGATTGATTTCAAATTTTAAAAAACTACATTTGGGGAGTGGTAAGAGGTAAAAAAACAAGTGGCTTAAATCTCACCCAATGGAAAATTATTAAATTAACATTTTATCTATTTTTCCATTCTGGAATTTGGTATCCAATAATATCTGCAATAATATTGTCATGGTTAATCAAGAAATATTAAAATCAAAATGATAATATTTACAGATTTTTAAGGTGAATGAAGAAAATTACCAAGAGTATATATATTGGCAAGTTAAGCATGCAAAAGCATGTAATTATGCATCCCATAATTATATAATGGTATAACCCTAAGCATACGTTTTTGGTATGAAATTGCACCGCTTTTCAAAGGAGATAGTTCCAGGATTGTACTGAAAAAAATATTTTCTACAATTACCAGGGAATCTGCTGAAAGAATGACACCCCTGTAGAAAAATACAGTCTATAGAGATTAACCACACATAAATCACTCTTGGTAAATACAGTTGGTCAACCACTCATTTTTAACTAACCATTTTACATTGTATTTATGTGTACCAGATAATTTCCACACACTAAATATCATACTTCTGGTTTAATTTTCACCTATTCCTGAAGCCCTGCAATCTAACCCACCAAACATTTTTAAAAAGTGAAATTCTCTCTCTCTCTCTCTCTCTCTCTCTCTCTCTCTCTCTCT